CTAGGGCCCTTTCATCCCTTCAGATGAACCAAGCTGGTCGGGAGTTCAGTATCAACTCCTTCTTCCACCATGCCAAAGTAAAGCCGAGGTAAAGGCTTGATGACAGTAATAGACTGTCGAGGAGATAAAACCGGATTCGCATTATACTCACACATGTCCGAGGATTCAAGTAAACATGTACCAAAATTCATATTTATTTGCTTCAAGAAGTCTCAATCCAATCGTATATCACAAAGACGTTGCCGCTTAGGACCCAGAAGCCTTTGCCCGATGTTTTAGGACGGGAGACTGGGAGACTTCGGTGTGACCCTCCCCACATACGTGGCAAGCGGGACAATTGACCTGTCGATTACTCGGGAGCTGTAGAACTCCATCTCGTCACAGTTGTGTCGGGCTGCATCCGAGGTGAGGTTGTTGAGGCCTGGGAGAAGTTGTCGATGATCCTATGGTAGTGTCGACCCTCGCTAGCATCGCACTCCCATATTGAAAAGATAACAGACTTCTCATAATAACTGACCTTAAACCTTCTATTGATATATTCGATGATTGTGGCAGTGGGCTGTGATCAGAACCTGAAATAGAAGCCAGTGTGTTCAATAGTCGTGGAACCCTGTGAGGGTATTGTTCTTCTCAACCGCCAGTTCGGAAACTTCAACACGCTCCTTTACATGCCTGTCAGCTTCCTTGAGCTTACCTTAAAAACTGCTGTGGTTCTATTGAAGACTTTGAAACGGCTCCCGTCTCCTGATTAGGCATTGCAAAACTCCGTAGTTCATCATCGCGGGTTTGCGGGCCTATAGACAGTCCATATTGGCCTGGCCTCTACGACTCAACACAGCTGACCGCTCATCAGCGGACGTGAAATATACTCGAATCGAAGAATTCTGGCGTGAGGCTGTCTGTTATTCATCGAGAGTGCCGAGCCTCCTCATCTCTACTGGAACAACAAGCGTGAGTGGGTGTGGGTGAATGTAATATGTTGGCATCTGACATGTGCTTGTGGTGACTTACTGCAACTTTTCAAATAGAAAGAAATTGCCCTTCAAATTCATCAGTTATCACCAGAGTACAGTGCCATTTCGTACATTATGGTTGTCACTCGACCGGCTATCAACCCGATATCTAACCGCGAGCAAAGTGTGGCTTATCCAGTGTTCAACTGAGAGGTGAAGAGCCAGAGATAATGTCTTCTGCATTGCGTTTGATCTGTTATATCTCACGATAAACCATGGGAAATGGGTTCAGCTGGTTTGGACCTTGGTTGCATAGAATCTGTCACTTACATTTGGTTCTCGTCAAAGCCAGACACCTTAACTCACAGGGGATTGGAAGACGCCACTTTTGACTATCAAAGTGACATGGATTCAGTCAGTCATATAGACTTAGCAAATGAAAGAAGGCGGAAGGAGATATATGATATGATATGGCATGGCAGACATTGTGATGATGGTCTGAAATGGCGAGCGTAACCCACCGCGTTTTGCCGAACAAACATTATGGCAACAGTGACATATCTTGGACATATAGAGTCATTGTATGTGACAACTCCCTTTGTGTCTAGTAAGACCACATTGTGTGAATTAATGTGACTCAGGTTGTATGAAGGTGAGGTTGGCCTATCCCAAGAGAAATTGTTGGAGAGAATTCATTGTTACTTGGTAAGGTATCCAACTGTTCGGAGTCCAGGCGGTGACATTGGCTTATCTGTCAAGGTACTTGGGCACTTCACGGGCTCCCGCTGCATGCTGGGTGCCGTCCGCAGGCTCTGGCTGACCAACGCACCCTTGCCTTGAGGACAACCGGGACCCTCTTTGGTTACGTAGTGTGCAGATTTATAGGCAGTCCTCCCTTGCGCCCCCACTCTTAAATCGCCTGAGGCCAAGCTGATTTGATGAATGACAGCACCAAGCAGAGGCAACTGCCCGGAAAAACTCCTCACGAGCTTCCCCGTCGCGCAATAATTTTTTGAGGACGGTTACTGACCGGAAGCTCCTGGCCCAGCGCAAGTGCAACAGCAATAGCAAAAGCAACAGAGCAACAACACCTGCAGCTCCTGCACCCTCTACATCATCGACCACGCTGGTCAGCCCATTAATTACACTCCTTTCGACCTCGCGACTTTTCTTCACGGAATACCTCGATACCTTTCTTCCCTTTCTCTCTCAATTGCTCTCGGGCTCGTCACCATTATGTCGAATCCCCTGCCGTCCGTGCCTCCCATGGCCAGCCCTCCGACTGTCATCCCCGTTGATTCGTCTTCTGGCCTTTGGGATCGCATCACCTCATGGGCTTCGGATAACAAGGCCATTGTATACACTGCCGCTGGTGTCGCCGTCGTCGCTACCGGTGCTGGTGTCATCTACTTCCTCAACAGCGACTCCGTACGTCATGCTTCCCATCTTATCCTCGCAACCCTCGTCGTCATGCGATCCAATTTTTTCACCCGTTACTACCGAGATCTTGGCGTCTATTACTGGCGCCAGATTGCTCCTCTCTCAAACAGCAAAGCTAACTCAGGTGCGATTGAAGAAGACAGACTCGACACCAAAGCTCAGCAAGAAGGAGCGAAGGAAAAGAAAGGAAGCCGAGCGGAAGGCTGCAGCAGATGCCGAAAAGCAGCCCACACCTGCAGAGGCCGCAGCTCCTGCATCGTCCAAAGCAGCCAGTGTCGAGTCCGCCGACGAACTTCCCGAGATCACCGAGGCGACTGTTGCCGAGTTCACTACCGAAGAGCGGGAAAAGTATGCCGCCAAGCTTAAGGATGTCGGAAACCAAGCCTACGGTGGCAAGGACTACAACAAGGCCATCGATCTCTACTCCCAAGCTATTCTCTGCAAGGCCAACCCCATCTTCTACTCCAACCGCGCCGCCTGCTACAATGCCCTCGGCAACTGGGACAAGGTCGTCGAAGACACGACCGCCGCTATCAACCTTGACCCCGAATACGTCAAGGCACTCAACCGCCGCGCTAATGCTTACGAGCACCTGAAGATGTACGGCGAGGCCCTTCTCGACTTCACTGCTTCTTGCATCATCGATAGCTTCAAGAACGAGAGTAGCGCCCAATCAGTCGAGCGCCTGCTTAAGAAGTTCGCCGAGCAGAAGGCTCAGGAGATGATGGCCAGCCGGCCCAACAAGCTTCCTAGCCACACTTTCGTCGGCAACTACCTCCAGAGCTTCCGCGTCAAGCCCCGTCCAGCTGGCCTCGAGGACTCTGTGGCCTTGTCCGAGGAGACTGGCAAGGGACAACTCCAAGTCGGCCTGAGTGCTCTGGAGAAGAAGACGGGAGACGGATACGAGGAGGCCAGAGCGGCCTTCGAGAAGGCGTTGGAGTTGGGCGACCTGGGCGAATTCGAGGCCCTTGCTTACAACCTCCGCGGCACTTTCAGCTGCCTGCTCGGAAAGCACGACGATGCCATGGTCGACCTGACCAAGAGCATCGAGCTTGACCCTTCCATGACCCAGAGCTACATCAAGCGCGCCAGCATGAACCTCGAGCTTGGTGCCCCGGAGAAGGCCGCTGAGGACTTCGAGAAGGCCATGGAGCAGAACACCGAAGACCCGGATATCTACTACCACCGCGCTCAGCTCCACTTCATCAAGGGCGAGTTCTCCGACGCCGCCAAGGACTACCAGAAGTCGATCGACCTGGACCGCGACTTCATCTTCTCTCACATCCAGCTTGGCGTGACCCAGTACAAGATGGGATCTATTGCATCATCCATGTCGACCTTCCGCCGCTGCATCAAGAACTTCAAGGAGGTTCCCGACGTCTACAACTACTACGGCGAGCTGCTTCTGGACCAGGGCAACTTCCAGGAGGCTATCGAGAAGTTCGACAGCGCCATCGAGATGGAGTCGAAGACGAAGCCCATGGCGATGAACGTCCTTCCTCTCATCAACAAGGCTCTCACCCTGTTCCAGTGGAAGCAGGACTTTGGTGAGGCCGAGAAGCTCTGCCAGAAGGCGCTCATTAGTAAGTTCAGACTACTTCATTGTACGAAGTGTAATTGCTGACCCTCGATAGTCGACCCCGAATGCGATATTGCTGTTGCTACCATGGCCCAGCTCCTTTTGCAACAGGGCAAGGTCACTGAGGCGCTCAAGTACTTTGAGCGCGCTGCAGAGCTCGCCCGCACCGAGGGCGAGATCGTCAACGCCCTGTCCTATGCCGAGGCGACCCGCACGCAGCTCCAGGTCCAGGAGAAGTACCCCAAGCTGGCGGCAAAGCTTCAGGGCATCGGCCCGGGTGGCATGCCCCGGTAAAGGGCTCATGGTGTCCTGAACACGAAATATGTAAAACTCACCTATGGCGGCGTGTAAGAAGAAAACAGCAGATCCCTTAGCAGATGAGGGAGCGGATAGCCAAGGAAAAGGGCTCTTGGTTGGTAATGGGGGAAAATATCAAGGCGGGCAAGCCGCCCGCCTCGTTGAGTCGTTTTTTCGTTGGTCAGTGAGGGAGGCTTTGGGAAAGGAGAGCAAAATCCAAGGCTCCGTACGTACGGCTGGGGAGGCATTGGTTGAAACCCTTACGTTGTACATAATCCGACTTCCCTCACTCTACATACATTGGTGAGAGCATTGTAGAACTAGTCCACTGTCAATCATCTTTTGCTATTTCCATCTTCCATCTTGCATATGTGTCTATCATCTGTTGCTTTGATGCCTACCTACAAGGAAATCATATTGCGGTAACAGGACACATTCGAAGGACCTCAGAAGAAGTCAGGTATCACATATCTATCTACCCACGCAACCTGATAGTTGCTCTTCAAGCTGTCTGACGTCCCCACCCCAGGTGACGTGTTCATACCCACTCACAAACAACGTAGTTCATGATCGGGAAAACCCCCCAAAACAGCCCAAAACACAACACCCGCACAATCTTCAATGTCCACATGGACCAGGAGAGCAAAAAGATGGACGATCTGGGAATCGAACCCAGGACCTACCGCATGCTAAGCGGTCATTATACCACTAAACCAATCGCCCAGTCGGAATGATCTAGCCCGGACTTGAACCGGAGACCTTCAGTGTGGCAGACGAGAGAGGCATGAGAGACTCTTTCGAGCTGTTAGACTGACGTGATAACCAACTACACCACCAGACCATGTTTTTGTTGAAGACGACCGGCGACAAAAGTGACTAGGTATGATTGGGGTGTGGGGGTGACCACACGGGTTGGCCAAATTGCGCGGGCCTTGCTGTGTGGTGCGGTGTGGAATATGTAGAAGTGGATGGTGGTGGCATCGTGAGTGCAAATTTCGTTGGTGGGGGGGGCGGAAAGTGACCGGGGTGCGCCGTGTTCCCAGCCCCGACAGGCCTGGGCCGGCCGGGTTCTCGCGTGGCTGCCATGGTTCGTAACGGGATGAGATGCTGATAGGCAGGCCGGGTGGGCCGGAGGAAGAGAGAATGAAAAGTTGAAGAATCGGAGAACGACTCGCCAAGGTCACAGGTGGGACATTTACAGGACGAGGATGGGACGGGTATGGACAGATGCCATGCGAGTTCATAAAGTGTTCGCCATTGTGCGATACGTACAACAGGGAAAAAATGGTGGCCTCTTTCTCTTCCAGTGCACTCGTGAAATCCAACGGGACTTTAGAGTGACAGAAAAGACAGACGCAAAATAAATACAGATAAAAAAGCCCACTCCATATTCCCCCTCCCGTCTGATCGTGTGAACAGTATGCGTACAATAAGTCAATCGTTGGTGGGGAATCAAGAGCCCGCCGTGTCTCCTAATACGCGGCAGCTGAAAAAGGAAAAAAATCGTGGTTTCGTCGGGAAAGAGCTGGTTTTTGGGTTCGTGAGGCAGCGCGCGTGCGTGTGTGCTCCGCCGTATTTTTGTGTCGCCCTTAATTAGTACCGTCCATTCGTCCGAGCCATGGTCATGAAATCTAGACAATCGTGGTGCTGCTCTTTTAAAAGTGCGGTCCCGTTTCCATCATACGAGGGAGGCGCCGCAGCTGCCTTCCCATCCAATTACTTTCTCCGAATCGTCGTCGTAGTGCGATTACGCACACGTGTGTGCGATTGTTGAGATCATACTCGTTAATTCTTCTTGGTGAGAGCAACGCCCAAACCGACACCGAGCGCAATGGCAAGGATGATGAGTACAACAACGAGGAGGCACCACCACTTGAGCTTCTTGCGTCTGCGCGCGTGGTCTGTCGCAACTTTGACTTCTTCGTTGCCCTTTTGGATGTTTTCGACAGTCTGTTCGGCGTTCTGCTCGGCGGCCTGGACGACGGGCTCCTGCTGCTCGACAAGAGTGGCCAACTCCTGGAAGAGTTGGCCAAGCTCCATCATGGTCTGCTCAATGCGCTGCAACTCGCTGTGGCGGGCTCTGACATTGCCCAAAATAGTGTTGGCGTGACCTGTCCGGTTGGATTTGAGCTGGTCAAGCCGTTAGTATACGGTGCTGACGAGCCGAGAATAATTGGTCATAAACAATGCCAAAACATACCGCTGTTTGGAATACACCTTCGTCACCCCAGTCCATCTGTGTCGCCTGCTCTACTTCATCTTCCGTCGCTTCCGGATTGACGATGCGGTACTGGCGGGCAATCTGGTCGCGGTACCGCTTCTGGTAATCGCGCTCGATCTGCTGGTACTTTTCGAGCTCGGACTTGAAAGTGTTCTTCAGGGAGTTCAGCTGCGCGGTCTTGGTTGCGCGCGATCCGTCCTGTGTCTTGGATAGATCCCTTTCGAGGGCCTTGATGCCTTCCTTGACGCCGGTGTTGCGGATTTGCGTTGCGGAGACAGCCTGCTCAAGCTGGGCGCTGGTGCTGCCGTCGGGGGAACCGAGAGAGCGCTGGTGAAGCTGGGCAATGCCCTCAATGTCGGAAGTCAGGCCATTGATTTCTGTGCGCAGTTGTTGGACCCGGGCGAGGAAATCTTGCTGGCTCAGAGTGCGAGGCGCGGATTGCCCGGCATACTTGTCCGCCTCTCCGTACGGCTGCATTTCGTACTGGCCTTGGCCATATTGAGGCTATTGTTCGGAAAAAGTCAGCGATATGGTATTGAGAGGGCATGCGCGGACGTAATTGGAAAGCGACGTACCTGTTGGTTGTCATAGCCGTATCCGCCTTCGGCCTGGGGGCCCTGGGCGTAGGGATTTTGGTTATACTGTTGGTACGACATGTCTGACTCAAAGCAACTGTCAATGTCGACGATAGACAGTGCGATTCGAATCGCAATTTATTCGACGAGCGAGCAGAATTGAATGAGAGAGTCCGGCGCTATATGGGGTGATTGACCCGACAGTCTCGTGAGATTGTTGTGGTGGTGCAAGGTGAAGGAGCTTTCGGCTGATGTTTAGTTGTTAAATGACGTTGGACCTCCGGCCGCCGACAGGAACTGGGAAGTGCTGGAGAGACGCTGAAATGACAATGAGGACGGGCCCAATCAGGCACCCGGACCTGTCAGAGCGGATACCCCGGGCTGTGTATGTGGTTGGATGGGGTCGCTCGTGAACGGGGCGACAGTGGGCAGGATTGGCCGATCTGCTTTCCGGGGTCCCTTTTTTTCTCGTTCCCCTCTTCCTGTTAAAATCTGACCGAGAGGAAACAAATAAACAAGCTTTACGAAGAAAATTCCTTCTTTTAAAATGAACCCAGAAATGAAGATGGATTCGAGGCTGTCCACTGCGCTTTTCAGGTCTTAGTCAGACTCGGTACTTTATTCGATTCCCAAGATGTCGGCCGGGAACAGTGAAAGACTGGATGAAGCGAACACCAGGTCAGTGACATCAGAACATGTTGCGCCGACGGGCGGGGCGAAGCTTATTATACCCGGGACGCATGTTCTTCTCTGTAGCGGCAAGGTAGGGACGGACGGACGGTCTCACCCACTCCCCAGCGAGTCCCAAGGGTCTGTCTCTTTCTCTCACTTCACTCACTGGGCAGCAGTCACACACACACCTCTCAGTGCTCACACTCAGGTTACTTTTAGGTGCTCTGCTCTGCATCTGCCCACCGCCGTCCGACGGGCCTTTGGTGCTGGTGGGAGGTTGGAGGCTGGAGCTGCCCCTCGTTCTCTCCGGGGGTCCGACCAGACCTGTCCGTTTCTTTCTCATTCCCGTCCTTCCCCATCCTCGCTTGGCGAGCAACGCCCAGCCACCCCGCTGCGGAAAGCGTGACGATTGACAGGTGAGCAGCAGAATCGCAGTGGAATGAAGAGCATGGCTGCGTAGAACATGGGTTGCTGAGTGGCGGCGGCGGCGGCAACGGCAGATGTCAAATCGTGTCTGCGCCCCCAAAAATAGACCTTGAGATTCGGAATGCGGCCACAACACAATTTGCTTGGGGATTTTGAACCAATTGACTCTCGGCTCCATCGCATACGGAACCCTCTCCTACCTGATGCAAAGCCGAGAAATGGCAGGCAGAAGCTCAAAGTCCGTCGCCTCCTTCGCTGACCACACTGGTTCCTAGCCCGAGGAATCGTCACCATTCTGTGGCTGTGCGAACACTTGCAGTGAACACACCTCAACGTTAACGTCCTAAGCCTCCCGTTCCTCTTGCCGCGTATTAGCAGACATCCTTGGGCAGTGCTCAGTGCTGTACTGCCTCTACCATTACCCACTTCGCCTTCTTTTTTTTCTGGCCCTCTAGTCTGTACACCTTTCATGGCACAGGGCGATCAAGGGCGATGTACACCACAGCAACAATTAGTCAATGAGAACCGCGAGAGCGACCAAAGTGCCTCCCGCGGCTTCTGTGTACTTTCGGCCCGTATCCGTATTGCGCATATATTTATGGCGGGCCCTCAATGACACCGAACTCTGTAAGCAACCATTGGGACCATCTGATGTATTTCATCCCATGCTCAACCTTCGCTCACTGAGATCTTGGCGTTACCACGCGCCAAGGCTTACTGCTGCTCACCGTCCATTGGCTCGTAGCAGCTATTGCAAAGGAAGCTGCCGTCTTGACCTTGAGGCGTCACCTGTCCTTGTTGAATGGGACCGCACCCTATGAGCCGCGGCCGATTCAGTAGTATTACTTATTGACTCAATTCGTGGTCATGAGTCGAACTCGAGGGTCTTCCGGCTACGGATGTTGATATGCTGTGTCATGAGCAAATCAATGGTTAGGACCTCAACTACCGAGCTCTCAACGGCGGCCATAATCATAGCAACCAATTAGATGGAATGAACTATTGTTCAACAACATTTTGAATCTTTTTTGCTCGCCTTGACTTGTCCCTGCCGAAGCTTGATAAGTCTTTGTTTTCTACAGCAGATCATCTTGCTGTTGTAAGCTGCCTAGAAACCACGGCGTTCTGGCTTGGATATCTTCAGTCCAACATCGTTCTTTATCTTCCACTTCGTGTAGTCCCATGAGTACCTGTGCCGCGACTCTCTTCTTCTCGCATCCATCGACGATGCTTGACCGGTGCTTGGGTATTGTGGCCTCATTGAACCCCTCGTTCTCGTTACCTCCCGCTCCATTTCGTGGCGTACTGGTTGACAAGTCCTGTTCGTCGTTGCTTAATTTCGCCCACGCAATGAGCCGATGTTTTGGGCGCTGATCGTCATACGCTTGCCCCGTGATCTCTCACGGCAGCGACGCCTTGGCCTTCGACAACATCTGTCGTGTCGGTTTTCTTCCGTGGTCCTCTCTCACAGATACTCCTTCTTTCTACCAGTACGAGTGTACTGTGTAAGGTGCCACTCAACATCGCCATCCTTGTTTTCCAAGGTACCACCGCGAATCTCGAAGGGGCGCATTGTCATCCGAGGTCCAACCTCAGCAAGCTCGACAGAATCGTACGAGGTCCGGACAAAAACGTGACTACCAGGGAGTTAGCAAAGGTCTAGCGGGTTTCAGAGCTACAAATGAGCTTACTGTCTGACTTCAATAGAGTCTTCGTTATTCACAAATGTCACTACCCTTGACCCTACCTTAGCCTTGGTGGTCGGGGGATCGAGCGGAGGGAAAAGATGCTTCAGGATCTTCACGACCCGCTGTCCAAGCCGACTAGAAGAGTTGATTGATGATTAGTGTCCGTCGAACGACCTTCCTAGCCAATGTAACATACCTCTTGAAACCCTCAAATATTAACCGTGGGAAAGCTTCTGAGACAGATCCTCTGATACTTCCGGGTATATCTGCTCTGAGTACAACGTTATGGAGCGACATTGATAGCGTAGGGCCGTGTGGGAGATGAGAAATGCTTTGTCGGAGAGGTACGTCAGCTGGTGGCTCGTCTTGGATTCAGAACGGAGTGACGTACGTCATGGCAGTCGGTACACCGCGATGTTCGTGAAGGAGGACAATGTCCGTGAGCCCGTTGGACTTGCTTGACTGCACAATATCCGGCAGAATCAAATTTCCACGGTTGAGCCGAACGGATGTAGGGAAGAGTAATCTAATCTCCTTCGAGAAGGCTGAAAGCCTTGAGGACGGGTCTCTTGAAGTCTGAAAGGGTGAGCTTGTACTCATGTGCCTAGGATGAAATAATAGAATAAACTAACTGTAACCAAAAGGCGTGGCTCTGATATTCCCGACAACTGGGAGTATTCGTCGTCGAGATCCATCTCCTCATCGACTGTTCGATCGGGTCGCGACTCGTCATATTGGTAGTCTTTCCGCAGCGCCTTGTTCTTTGCGATTTCGGGGTCGATGGGCTTGCCAGAAGCAAGGGCAGATCGTAGCTGGGCGCGCTTCTCGGTCGTCTCCGCCTCTTTCAATATAAGCGCCTTGCGATAGAGGTAGTCGCGCCGTTGTCGAGCCTGTTTCCGGATCATGTTGGGCTGTTGGTATGTGAGATGGTGGGATGTCAATGCTAGAGTTTCGCAATGCATCCAACGTACCTTAGACAGGCTGATCGAGAAAAAAAACCTTATCAGGTGGCAGGTATCCACTTTCAAGCATCCCGCTGTGTAGGTCACGTGGTGATAAGCTACATCCCACCAAAACACCACCCTTTCGCCGCTGCTCTGTCGGACTTTGGATCTCTCCTGGGTGCTTGGATTCACCAACGAAAAGGCACACAACCACTCCCGACAAGTCCCTGCCCCGTTGGTGTACCTTTGAGGTTTCCGCACGAATCCCACAACTTCACATACCGATATGATGTGACCATCCCCCTCCCCGAACCACCTCGAATCCCCCTTCCGTACGACCTGAGCCTACTGAGGCTCTGCGACGCCGAACCATTCGAGAACCATAAAGAAGCTGAAGTAAGTTGCGCATTCCCCATAGCACCAGAACGATGTCCCCGACACCATCGCAAGCACCTACACAGACATTTCTACAGTTGTACTGCATGCGACAGCCCGCTGACACTTTTGTAAGGGAGATCAGCAGAGAGAAGTAGAAATCTGGAATACCGCGAATATGGAGAGCGCCTTCAAGAATCTCGGGAACCACCTAGTTTCCGACAGCGCCGCTGCGATCAAGGCAGGCGACGATGTCTTGACCGGTATCGATGCCGATGAGAGCCTTCTCTACGGCAAATTTGGCGGCCGCGACGGTCGCCGCCGTGCCGACGATGACGACAACCAAACCGAGCTTTACGATGATGACGATGTGGACAGCCTGACCAGCATGCCTGTCGGAACTATGAAGGATCTCAATATCGGAAGACCCAAGGAGGAAGATAGGAAGCTTCCCCCTCACGCTTGCGCGTATGGCATGCCTCCGAGCTTCCGAGCCCTCTCTTGAATCTAACACTGGCTTAGGTATTGTGGAATTCATTCCCCGAGCTCCGTCGTCAAGTGCCTTGGCTGCAACAAGTGGTTCTGCAGTGCCCGTGGAAATGCTACCTCCAGCCACATTGTTTCCCATCTGGTCCGGGCGAGACACAAGGAAGTCCAGCTTCACCCGGAGTCTACCCTGGGTGATACTGTACTTGAGTGCTACAACTGTGGAACCAAGAACGTCTTCCTCTTAGGCTTCATTCCTGCCAAGTCGGATACCGTTGTTGTGCTGCTTTGCCGTCAGCCTTGTGCTGCAAACACCTCTTCCAAGGATATGAGCTGGGATACCTCTCGATGGCAACCCCTGATTGAGGAGAGAGCTTTCCTGACCTGGCTCGTCGCGACGCCCTCTGATGCCGAGCAGCTCCGCGCTAGACACCTCACCCCGCCGATGATTGCCAAGCTGGAGGAGATGTGGAAGGAAAATGCGACTGCTACGGTTGCCGATCTTGAGAAGGCCGCTAGCATCGACGACGACCCTCACCCCGTCCTCCTCAAGTACGACGACCCTTACCACTACCAGAACATCTTTGGCCCACTCGTCAAGATGGAATCCGACTATGACAAGAAGCTCAAGGAAGCCCAGTCTGAAGATGGACTTACGGTCCGCTGGGATTATGGACTGAACAACAAGCATCTGGTCAGCTTTGAACTGCACAAGATAGAGTCGGGTGACGTCAAGCTGGCCGTTGGCGACGAAATGCGACTGCGTTACAAGGGCGAGCTCCGCCCCGCCTGGGAGGGAGTTGGCTATGTCATCAAGATCCCCAACAATCAGTCTGACGAAGTCACCCTCGAGCTGCGTAAGGCCGGCAATGAGAAGACGGTCCCGACTGAATGCACCCACAACTTCTCAGCAGACTATGTCTGGAAGGCTACCTCGTATGATCGCATGCAGTATGCCATGAAGACTTTCGCCGTGGACGACATGAGTGTCTCGGGTTACATTTTCCACAAGCTCCTGGGCCACGATGTCGCTGTTGCGCCGATGAAGACGACTATGCCTAAGAAGTACAGCGTCCCCGGCCTTCCCGACCTCAACACCAGCCAGATCGCCGCCATTAAGGCTGTGCTGTCGACCCCGCTCAGCTTGATACAGGGACCTCCGGGCACTGGCAAGACTGTTACTTCAGCGACCATCATCTACCACCTGTGCAAGATGAATAACGGACAAGTCCTCGTGTGCGCGCCCTCCAACGTTGCCGTCGACCAGCTATGTGAGCGCATCCACCGCACCGGCCTCAAGGTCGTTCGTCTTACAGCCAAATCCCGAGAGGATGTTGAGTCCTCTGTGAGCTTCCTGGCTCTTCATGAGCAGGTTCGTATGAATGACAGCAACGGTGAACTTGTCAAGCTGGCGCAGCTAAAGACCGAGCTTGGCGAACTATCCAGCCAGGACGAGAAGAAGTTCAAGCAGCTCACCAAGGCCGCCGAAAGAGACATTCTACACAACGCAGATGTCGTCTGCTGCACTTGTGTCGGTGCCGGTGATCCACGCCTGTCAAAGATGAAGTTCCGTAATGTCCTCATCGACGAGTCGACCCAATCCGCCGAGCCCGAGTGTATGATTCCTCTCGTTCTCGGGTGCAAGCAGGTTGTCCTCGTTGGTGACCATAAGCAGCTGGGCCCTGTCATCATGAACAAGAAGGCTGCCAAGGCTGGTCTTAATCAGTCCCTGTTCGAGCGTCTCGTCAACTTGCGCTTGGTTCCCATTCGCCTCAACATCCAGTACCGCATGCACCCTTGCTTGTCCGAGTTTCCTTCCAACATGTTCTACGACGGATCTCTCCAGAACGGTGTTACAGTCAAGGATCGTGTTCGCCGCGATGTCGACTTCCCTTGGCCTGTCGTTGATATGCCAATGATGTTCTGGTCCAACCTCGGCAATGAGGAAATTTCGGCATCCGGAACGTCCTACCTCAACCGTACCGAAGCTTCCAACGTGGAGAAGGTTGTAACCCGCTTCTTCAAGGCTGGCGTAAAGCCTTTGGACATTGGTGTTATCACTCCGTATGAGGGTCAGCGAAGCTACATCGTTAGCACCATGCAGAACACTGGCACATTCAAAAAGGAGAGCTACAAGGAAGTCGAGGTTGCCTCCGTTGACGCCTTCCAGGGTCGTGAGAAGGACTTCATTGTTCTGTCCTGTGTTCGTTCCAACGACAACCAGGGCATCGGTTTCCTTTCGGATCCCCGCCGTCTCAATGTCGCCTTGACTCGTGCCAAGTACGGTCTTGTCATTATTGGTAACCCCAAGGTTCTTTCCAAGCATGAGCTTTGGCACCATCTCCTTGTCCACTTCAAGGACCGCAAGTGCTTGGTTGAGGGGCCTTTGACAAATTTGCAGACCTCGCTCTTGCAGTTCGGAAAGCCCAAGACAGCATATCGCCAGAAGATGAGCCAGCCCCCTCAATTCAATGCCGGTGGCGGGTTCCCCAACGGCGGCGGCAACCGCTTCAACGGTGCTGGCTCGACACGCGATTTTGACTCGGGATCTATGATGTCCTACATTCCCGACGACGTCTCCTCGATCCATAGCTCTCTGGGCGGTGCCGGCTTGAACACCACTTACCCTCCCATCTTCTCGAGCTTCACCCCTGATCAATGGCCTGGTCTCCCTGGAGTACCCGGATCCAGCCGCTCCGGCATCAAGAGAGGAGGTCGCGCCACTGAGAGCATTGCTGGCGAAAGCGTCGCAAATTCCGAGTATACAGATGCTAGCGCCAGCGTCATCGGTGCCAAGGGTGTTGGACAGGGCGGTGTCAGCCTGGGTGCCGGTCTTCAGGACGCCATTCACGGTATGCGCCCTGCGTCCTACAGCCACAGCGACCGCTTGAAGCATTACGTCGAGAGTGGTGGTCGCATGGGAGCCGGCAACGGCTTCGGCCGTCGCTATGACGACGACGAGAAAAGCGTCAGCACCGCCTTCCACAGCCAGATTGGTGGCGGCTTCGACTGAGTGCCGAGATGGATTGGGACAGGGACTTGCTTTACCAAACCCAAGGGTTATTTATACCTCATCCTCTGAAGGCTTCAGCCCTCGCCGCACCATGCTCGGTGCTGTACACAGGAACAGGCAGCACGCCTGAGCCTAGAGGCGTCTCGGAATACCGGCCCTGGTAATCGAGAACCACTTCACGTGGTCGACCATTCGGCTTCCAACGACGACAACGACGTGCCGCAGGCGGGTCATGGCCCGACCAGCGAGAGCTGCAACCGACGGAGGGTGTCGTACGCGCGCCCTCAACGGCCCGTACTTTGCAGATTGTCAATCAGAGAGATGTCGAGTGTTAGCAAGGGGATGAGATCTGGCGGGGATAGGAGGTTATGCTCGGGCGGAGGACACGGGTCAGCGTCTGAGGAGGCAACTCAAAATGCGGTCGAGCATTGAGGCGTAGAAGCGACGAGTCTTCTATAGCTCACTGTATTTACTGCGAGGAAGCCCACGACAGATGTCATGCAGTTCCTATGCTGCACGCAGAAAGCGCACTACGAGATCCAGCTTAGAGTTTAGCTTCTTAGTTTAATCACCGTCTTTATTTGCACCTTGTCCACAGCCCCCAGATTGCGCTAATCATCGCGAGACCACCCTCCCAGTATTCATATCCACAGGCCTGGCCCGGCCAGAGAGGTAAACTTATCGATATGGCACACGCGGGTCCGGTTTTCCTTGAATATCGGATATACTCCGAAGTAAGGTACATTTTCGAGATAAGTGCCGTGGTGTGCCTTGCTTATTACGGAGTACTTGCTTGGATTCAAAGGATGGAAGAATTGTATCCTCTTTTTTCCTTGCTGATGGCGTAGCATCAGCCAATCCACTGATAGACAGGGGGCAGGCTCCGGCACCCCACAGACTTGAAAATAGATTGGCAGCGACGGGGGGCCACCCATGTCCAAGCGCGGGAGCCTCACCCAATCTGACAACGACAAGCAGGTCACCGCCCCCTGACAGTCCTGACGGACATGCATTCTTCGCGAGACCGGACCATCTGATGGAAGGCCCACTATGACGATCCGTCTGATTCTTGGCTTCGCAAAGCGTTTGGCGAGCGGATTCCCCAAATGGAGTTTCGAGTTGCAGCAAAGTGGCCAGCGGCCACTGGCCAGCCACCGGGCGGCAGTGTTCGGCGAGATTCGAGAAAAGGGTGAAGACCAAAAGGGAGGGGCAGAACTTGGGTGCTAAGGAAGGGCAGGAACGGCCTCTTGGCGTTTTTACGTACACGTGTTGAGCAGGTGAGCATCAATGCCTTTGCCATCTTGGCGGTGGGAAAACAAGCCCGATGGCTCCGTAAACCCCTTGGCCAAGGATTGTTTGGTTCCCGAGCGTCAGAAGAAGCTTTGGCGCTTCCGCTTCTTCTTCCGTCCTTCCACTGCCAAGGTTTCGTTTCTTTTTCATCCAGAGAGGTCGCACCTCATCTCGTATCGGAGCGTTGGTGTTTATTCCAACGCTGTCCTCCTTCGCTGGACGAACCGACGAACCGACGAACTCTTCCTCAATACTGCGGTCATTCACCTCGTCTTGACGGGGAAACGACATGAGTAACCAGTTGCGCCGAGAAATGCTGCCGCTGCCCTCTCTATCCCCGTACCCCGAGCCGCCAACATGATCACCATACGCCGTAGACCCGCGAGGGTACCAATCTACCTGGGCATCGCCCTGACATTGCTGTTGGTCTGGCATACCGGCTTTCCCGCCGGCTGGAGTGCTGGAACCCTTAACTACAATGGTATTCGCTACCGTAAGTCGAGCTACGACTGGGCGAGCCTGAAGCCCGAATATCCACTAGAGAAGCCGCTGCGCACGCCTCCGAAGGGCACTCCCGTCGAACTCCCACGAGTCCAGTACGATTTCGACAGTAGCAAAAAGCAAGCGGGAAAGAAGACGAGCAAAAAACTTTCCCACTATGAGAACGGCGACCGTGATCGGGAGAAGCAGACCGAGTCGAGACGGGCCGCCGTGGTCCACGCCTTCCGGCGGAGCTGGGCGAGCTACAAGGAGAATGCGTGGACATGGGACGAGCTGACACCCGTATCGGGCCATGGCAAAACCACATTTGGTGGTTGGTCAGCCAGTCTGGTCGACGGCCTCGATACCCTTTGGATCATGGGAATGCACGACGAGTTCCGCCGGGCCGTTAGGACCGTCGCGCTGATCGACTGGTCCAACACTACGGAGACGGCTGCCAACATGTTTGAGACGACGATCCGCCACTTGGGCGGTCTCATCAGCGCCTACGACTTGAGCGGCGAGCCGGCCTTGCTGGCTAAGGCCGTAGAACTGGGCGACATGCTATACATGGGCTTTGATACCCCGAACCGTATGCCACCTTTCTGGTTCAAGTTCTCGGACGCAAAATACGGCACGCAAAAGGTGGGCGAGCGTGAGTCCTCGGCCGCGGGATGCTCCCTCTCCATGGAGTTTACCCGCCTATCCCAGCTGACGGGCGATGCGAAATACTACGATGCCACGGAGCGAGTGAAGGAGTTCCTCGTCAAGACGCAGACGCGAAGCAAGCTGCCCGGCATGTGGCCCATGTATATGAACTACCGCGACGAGAAGGTAGAGGACAGCTCCTTCACGATTGGCGCCCAGGCCGACTCACTCTACGAGTATCTGCCAAAGATGCACGCCCTGCTGGGCGGTCTCGACAGCGAGTACGGGAAGCTCACAGTCGACTCTTTCGACGTCATCGACAAACATATCCTCTTTAGGCCCATCCTTCCTAATAAAACAGACATCCTCATCCCAGGCAACGCCTTCGCCCATGGCGACAACGTTGACCTGACGCCCGAGATGCAGCACCTGGGCTGCTTCGCCGGCGGCATGTACGGCCTTGCTGGCAAACTGCTGGGCCGGGAATCTTACGTCACCATTGGCGAAAAGATCTCCCGTGGTTGCGCCTGGGCATACAAAGTCTTCCCTACGGGCATCATGCCCGAGATTATGACATTCCACCCCTGTAACGAGCCGGATCACGGCGCCTGCGAGTGGGACCAAAAGACGCACGGCAGCAAGAGCGACGTGCCTGGCGGCGTCAAGCAGGTCCGCGACAGCCGGTACATGCTCCGCCCGGAGGCCATCGAGAGCATCTTTTACATGTACCGCATCACGGGCGACGACGAGTGGCGCGAGGTCGCATGGGACATGTTCCAGAGCATCCGGCGCGCAACGGAGACGCCGCTGGCGTATTCTTCGATTGCCGACGTCAACGTCCAGCCGGGGCAGACGACCAAGACGGACTCGATGGAAAGTTTCTGGTTCGCTGAGACGCTGAAGTACTTTTACCTCATCTTTTCGCCGCCCGACGTGATTAGTCTCGACGAGTGGGTGCTGAACACGGAAGCGCACCCGTTCAAGCGGCCCAAGAGGATGGATCATGTTGAGACTGAGGCGGAGATTCGGGAACAATCCAAGTGAGATTACATACAAAGACAACAATCACATACGGTGATGGGCAAGACCGTGAGCATCAGGTGCATTTTAGATGGTTCATTGCATTGGGTGGATATACTTGTGCATTAGCATAGACAAGAAGAGGGCGCGCCAGGTTGCAAATCTCTCTGTGGAAGCAAGGAAATAGTATACATTCACCTCCCGCTTCTCGCCCTTCTTTTATGATATGTCTATAATATTGAACGTTTTGCCATCCTCTTGACTCCTGTCTCCTGTTCCTTTCTATTCGGATAATATCATGGCCCGATGCTCCTGTCTAGATGATAGAGTTGCTCCATCTCGGCGCATTTCGAAGAACACTAACCTAGGGATGGCCACCTCATCGAATCTCGTTTTGGTCAAGCTGTATACATTACTATTGTCATGATATGGAGGTCCTCAGTACATATCACACTGGAAGTAGTTGAACACGTTGTAGGAGCAAAGGGCGTTTTGAGCATGAAAGCTCGTATTTTGACTAAAAGCCCACCTCTCACGTAGCAAAGTAGATGATCCTCGGGGAGATGGTCTAACATTACGCATTTAAATAACATTTCTCGAATGGCATTATAAGAACCAAACAATTAGTGACCCGGAGGGCTCGGAAAGAAAAAGTTAAGGGGAGGAATTATGGCCAAAGACGGAAAACTCGGGCACGTATTGTCAATAAGCAGACAGTTCGTCGAGCTCTGCTTGCCTCATCTCATCTGCTTCTTTCTACGTCGCCGATAGACAAAGCGATATATAGAGTTGGCATCTTACGATTACGATGATGCACTGTTGACGAACGTCCAGAGACAACAATCCGGAAGCCAGGAGATGCTCCTAGGGTATCTGCTTGGACTTGGACTCCTTGTCTTACCGCCTCATCATCCGTTCCTCTGATTCCATATTGTAGTGTAGAAAGTTCCAAGTCCTTCCAGCTATATAGCTGTGTAGTGTTTTGTGACTGCGTATGCCAGTCTAATCCTCACTTCTCGAAGTAGGCATGGGCACCGTTCACGAGAACTATGACAACGAAAACCGTAATCACCTTGTTCCCATATCCATCACTTCCCACAGAGGTTACAAGTCTAACTTGCCCCCCAAATTCTCCGAAAGGCAAGGGTTTCTCGCCAAAAGTATTATACGCCTTGAGACTCGAATTTGCGCAGCGGCTGCGGCGCATTTGCAAAAAGTTTATAGCCGCCAGAACCCGTCTACGGATACAAACCATGCGCCTACCACAAACTTCAGCAATAGGTTTGAAACATGGTCTTGCTCGCCGACGGGATCTGGTCAGTATGCAGTGCCCAGTAAATAAGAAAGGAGAAAACCAAACTTGCCGGATCTCTGCTTGGCGGCTGAAAAGACCAAAAGTGGTTATGGGATCTTCAGAGCCCTAGCCTGGAGACCCGGACGAGCCAACGAACGGAGAGGGGATTGAATAAGGTGGCTTTCCACGCAAAAGAAAAAAAGCAAACGGTGACAGCAAGGGCCCGGTTCGAATTCGTCCCGTCGTCTCTCCGTCCTTACACACTCTAGATCGCCGCAGATGACCCCACAGTAGCACGGATTTGCCTGGGGTCCCTGTCGTGAAGCTGGCGCTTTGAGCTTTCTTTTCCATTCACCGGTGTAAATGACGAAATGATCAAGAGTATTGAATCCATTCGCGCCCGTGAAGGCGATTTATTTTCGCCTTCCCCTCCCGTACTTTACCACAGTACTTTTTGGCCTATTACGCGATACAAGGCAAGAAAAGCAATACCACGGAACTTTGGCAGATGGATACTCTCCAGGCCCCAGGGGATAGGACAGTGGATTCATCGTCTGTGCGATGGCCGCTGGTCCTAGCCGGATATATGTCTCCTATCTTCTCTTTTTGCGAAAGAAAACAGGGCGCTAGTGGTAAAGGTGATCAGCAAACCCCGTTTCTGGATCTCGAGACAGTATGAGACCGATATAATGATCCACTGTCTCCGGGAGGTGGAGTCGAGGCCCGAGTGTTCACCTTACAGGAACGAGTGCCGGGCTGCTATGTACATCCGCAGTCGCGGGGCATGTATCCGTATTATCGTGAGTCTGTATTTAGCGGCGGGTAGTCGTACAACAAGTGGTACCGAGCGGCCGCACAGAGCCACCCTCCCTAGCAGTGTAATTTTCGGGGAACGATCTTCAGGCACAACGGCAGACGGAATAATCATCCGTCCGAGTTTGGAGAGAGGGAAAGAGTTGTCCAAGTCGCAGGTTTGGGCGCACGGGAAATTGGTCAGGAGGCTGAATCAGCAAGGTGAGCAATTGCAAATGATTGCGGTGTTTGAGATTTGTCGTGATACTGTGCCGTTTTGTGTTGCGTTGCAGTTCACTTTATCCATCGGAGGTTTTTGGTTTGAAAATATGCAGTCGATATTGGTTCTTCTGGTCCCGCTTGTTGATGATACGTGGGTGGACATTGATTGCGATTGCGTTGCGCACCCACTCGTGCGTGTGCCGGTGTTCTCAAATCTCAAAGAATGATTCCGCCAACCGTTCATGCTCCGCCTGAATAAACAGTTTGGGGGGCCATGTGGGGTACCAGTTCGCTTATGTTTGACTAGCAGAACTGAATCCTTCGCATCGTTGTACTTGACTTGTTGCTAGCTAGTCTAGGCTTGAAGAAGCGTGGACCGTGGTTCTGGCCAAAATATGTGCTGGGGGATGATCCGCTGACGAGAGACGAGACTCATTGATCGTAGGAAACTGAGACGGTCCGCGGAGGAACGCTGTCCACAATGAGAAGTTGACACCGGTTACCGACGAGGCTACGTGGGTGGGCGTGACGGACTGATGATGCCTGCCACGAGTAGAGAAGCGTCTTGATAGCTTTGTTCTGGACCAATGTGCCCTGCGCTACTTCCGCGCCTATAACGTTAGAAACACAAACGGACGCAGGTACCGAGCGCCCCGTGCCCCACCGTCCATCTCGTCCGAACTGGTTTGTTAAGTCGATGACTCGGGTTTGCTCGAGACTCTAGAAGGGAGGAACGCGGCCGCCGGCAACATTTTGGGGGCCGGTTGATAGGCGGTGGTGCGGAGGGGAAGGATCAGTGCACAAGGCCGCTGCAAGCCTGCGACCCATACCCGTGCGTTGCATGGCGTAGGCCAACAAGCTGGGTTTCTTTTGTATTAGCTTCAAGGTAGCAAGCCCTCCAGGCGGCGCTTGGAGCGTTTTAGGTACTTGTTGGATCAGCGCCAAAATGGATCTTGGTAATGGTTCCTGGGCCGGTGGCCGCGAGCCGAGAGGAGGAAACATTGCTGGGCGATGCTGACGGGTTGAACTGGGATGAGGTAGCATAGCGTCGCGCTGTTGCCGGGTAGGCGACCGACTACCTGGCTATATTTGACCCTCGAATGGCTGGGCTGGGGGGACCAGGAGGAATTGCTCCCGCAGATTTGTTATTAGCATCTCTATTATGGCACCCGGCTGGTACTTCGAAAACAAGTCGAAAGAGGATAGGTAGAATGGCCAGGCATGGTTTCATTTGAAATCCCACGACGATCATGATCAATGAGTTCTGTTGAACATCTCAAAATGAGAGAGGAAAGGCTGGATGGAAAAGAAGCCAGAGGGGCAGATGATTGAAAGACGTCGTGTTGTGGGGTGTGGGTGTGAAGGTGGAAGGGATGGATGAACCAGACAGACGGGTCTTTTGGCACGGTATACTGCGTAGACAGGCGGACGGGATGGGATGGAATGGAATGGACGAAAAACGGGAAAGTTGTCCCGGTCATTGAGACGACAGACGGCAGGAACAAAGGGGATGCGGTTGCTGTACCTGCGTGCCTGCCCATCATCCGGCTGACATTGGGACGAAGTCGCAGCCCATGAGATGAGACGCGCATAAGGTACTCCGTTGGATACCTTACTTTACTTATTAAGGAGTTCGTACTTTGTATACTAGACACGAGACATTTGCAAAAATCCGGGGATTTAGTTCGTCCCATTGATTGCGCTCCACTGCGCAAAAATAACACGTCTATCGGGTAAGGTACTCTGTGAGGTACTCCGTACTCCGTAGAGTACTTGCTTGAAGACAAACGCTCTTCCAGAAGATTCAAGTCGAGGTTAATTTATCGGTGGTCGGTTCCTTTCCGTCATGGCAAGGAAGTCAATGCCACTAAAGCGTCAACCAGCAATTGCCTTTTAATTGGCAACTTGGACCGGTTCCTGTCTCCTGGCCACTGAGCTTCGTCGCATTCCCCTGCCTGAAAGCTTGCGTATAAACGCAACTCGGGATGATCCTTGACCCGTTGCACGCTGCGGAATACGTCTGTACCGGTACTCTGCAGTGTCTGCTTAGAGTAAGCCGGCTTCGAGACAAGACACGCGAACGTAGTCGAGAGAAAAGCAAGCACAAACAGCCATGGCTTGTTCCTTGGGCGATTGAGCGGCCAGTTCGGGCAAGGTCGAGCAGCAGAGGGCGGCACCTGATGCTCTTCACCGTCATTGTCCGTGCCTTGCGCGTCCCAAGGGATGAGATTGAGCCAATTATGCTTGATGCGCTTGAGCTCATCGCTCGGCATAGTCTGCTTTCTGAGTTCTTGTAGTAGGGTGATCGTCGTCACGATCATGCGCCGCAATTGATGGCCACAATGAAGATTGGCCCTTGTTTCCTCAAGATGCTATCCAGCTGGAGTCAGATGCATGCATGAGGTGGTCGTGCAAGCAGAACTGCGTGTGATAAGAGACATGGAGGCTACCTATCCTTACCTAGGTACTCCGTACTGTAAGTCCATCATTCGTGAGAGGGGGCCCTCGTCTTGGGAACCTTGCTTTATGTCGAGTCTACGGACATCGCGCTCGCTCGCCGTTTGTCAGTCTCTCGCCGACCTCTCAGAGGGTTCATTGGCAAATTAACAAATAATTTTGGATGCATTTTGAGGCAAGGTAAGTAAGCCGGCCGCCGAATAGGCTTAATACCTTAAGGTAGCTGTCCCTTAATATACCTACTCATCTAAGACCATCC